TGCGACCTTCATGGATAATTTTTTGGTGATTAAGCAAAGTTGTTTTACATACAAATTTCTTTTCGCACTTGTCGCATGCGTAATCTTTGCGATCTTCGTGTACTGTCTTTTGATGGAAAAGCAACTGCGAGTTTTGTCCGAATTTTTTCTCGCATTTTCCGCATGCGAAATCTTTTCGGCCTTCGTGTACTGTCCTCTGATGGACAAGCAAATGAGATTTGTATCCAAATTTTTTTTCGCATTTGTGGCATGAGAAATCTTTACGACCTTCGTGTACTATCTTTTGATGCTCAAACAAAATAAATTTATACTCAAATTTCTTTTTGCATTTGTCGCATGCGTAATCTTTGCGACTTTCGTGAACTGTTTTTTGATGTTTATTCAAGTTGCTTCGATCACCAAATTTCTTTTTGCATTTGTCACATGCGTAATCTTTGGGGCTCTGATGAACAGCACTTCGATGCCTGATAAAATCCACCTTTGTCCTAAATTTTGTCTCGCCCTTGCCACATGCGTAATCTTTGCGACTTTCGTGTACTTTTTTTTGGTGGCTAAACAAATGAGGTTTTTGTCCAAATTTCCTCTCGCATTTGTTGCATGCAAAATCTTTGCGGCCCTCGTGGACAGTCCTTTGATGCTTCAACAAATCTGACTTACTTCCAAATTTCTTCTCACAATCGTTGCATTCGTAATCTTTGCGATTTTCGTGTGTTAGTTTTTGGTGAAAGAGTAAAGCTGATTTGAATGCAAAATTTTTTGCGCATTTGTCACATGCGTGATCTCTGCGACCCTCGTGGATTGTTTTTTGATGTCTTTTCAAATTTCTTTTATCGCCAAATTTCCTCTCGCATTTGTCGCATGCATAATCTTTGCGACCCTCATGGACTGTTGAAATATGCAAGTGGAAGTTCCATTTATTTCCAATTTCCTTTTCGCAATTTGGACATGAGTATTTTTTGAAGTTTTGGGATGCTAAATTTTTCCGAACAGCGTAGTTTCTGCGACCATCATGGACTGTTTTTATGTGCAGGTGCAAACTATGTTTATTGTCAAATCTTTTCGCGCACCTTTCACATAAGTAATTTTTGAATACTTCGTGGAATATTCTTTTATGTTTGAGCAAAGCTGATTTATTTTCAAATTTCTTTTCGCACTTGTTACACGTGAAATCTTCGCGATCTTTGTGAACTAATTTTTGGTGCGTAAGCAAACTTGATTTTTTCACAAATTTTTTCTCGCAATTGTCACGTGGAAAATCTTTGCGGCTTTTGTGTTCTGATATTTGGTGTCTACTCAGATGACTTCGGAACTTGAATTTCTTTACGCACTTGTTGCATGCGTAATCTTTCTGATCATTGTGAATTGTGTCTCGATGTGTCATCATGCTCGATTCTAGTATAAATGCCTCCTGACAAATATCACAAACGTATTTTTTGTCGTCTGAAACAACAATGACGTGTTCATTAAAATTACTTTCTGAAGCAAATTCCTCGGATTTTTTCTCATTTATATCCATTTTGGTGCCTAAATTAAACGATGAATTCTTCTATTTAGTACTATGGAAATTGAATGAGTAAAATTTATCTTTTGGTTTTATGACTTGTATCATCAGGAAAGTCAAAATCTGAACTAATTCGTTTTCACTATAAACATGATCAGCGTGTCAAGGGACGATGTTAAAATCGTTTATGGTATTATTGTTTACAATTCAATGACCGAGTTATCTGTTTATACTTGGTAGATACGATATTTGATCCAGTTTCAAAATTTAATTTAGAGACTATTTCTACGAAAAATTTTCTTGTGTCTTTTTAAACTATGTTCACGAAAAATTCCTTCTAAAATTGAGGCAATATTAAATCATTACACAACATTTTATAAATGACAGCATTTTTTCATGTTAGTTTCAAAATTAGTTTCAGAATCTACCACCGAATGCAGTGTTGACCCACTATGGAAAAAAATTCATGAACGATAATTCTCTGCAACATGCGTACAACCACGCTTATAAAGTACGAGATTGAAGTAAATCCCTTTCTTCCCCAGTTCACTTAGACGTAGTTGCATTTCTTTTCACCTTCTCTCAAAATGAGTGAAAACTGCTTCACGCGGACCTCTCTTTGAACTTTTCCATTTCAGAACGCGCCGATCGAGAATCGTTCACGCCCACGCACTTCGCCGCTTTCCATATAGCGTTATTATTGTATCAATAGATTCCGAGTGTATATACTTGTATATACTTTACGATTGCCTGTTAGTTGAATGCGATCGCTCGGCGTGCTGCCTCTCTCGTACAAATATACGATAATGAAATTAATCGTCCCACGCGTATGCACACATATACTCTATAGGCGTATATATAAAGTCGCTCTATACGTATAATACGCAGGCATAATATACAAGAGGCTTGTGCTCGCGAGCGGTATAGCTGTTTTCTCCCATGTACTCGCACTTTCAATTAACCGGGACACTCAATTACTTGAATTAGCGGCTGACTGGATGCATTAACTCGGCTCTTCTCTCTCTCTCTCTCTTCTGTTCTCGTACGCATACACACATACACGCGTGGGTGCTTGCAGCTGCCTACCTGCTGCGCTCGCCAGTATATTTATATAATAATACACACAGGGTATCCACATATAGGTGCAGCACACCTATCTCGTTTGATTGATTGCACAATGTATGATAGTGCGCTATATGTCTACAGCTCGTGTGCACACACACGCGGGAGGGTAGAATCAATTTTTGCCGGCGCCGCGACGCTCGACATTTATTTCGTCCGTGCCCAATTAGGCGTGTGATACTCTCTACCATACCTACACGTACGTATATAATACGCTGTATGTTATACGATAGCTGTTGGTAGGTAGGTAGGTCCGAGCGTTTGCGCTTTAAATTAGTTTTATCGCGCGCGCGTCTGTGCCGTCATGCACTTTACTCCCAAGCGCTGTGCGGCACACATATGGAGCGCGAGCGATAAGGATGCATTATATATAAGGGGACACACACACGCACTGCCGGATTATATACGTACGTCATTGAAACTTACAATGCTTTAAGTAAATTCGGACGTTTCGGTAAAATGTTTGCCCATCAAAGTTGTAAAGAGCATAAGCATGCAGTGTGGGTGTGAAAAGCGTATACCGTGTGGATAAATAAACGATCGCGATGCATACAAAGGATAATACGTCGGCGCGCGAGCTTTGTCCACGGTATACGCTTTTCGTCGCTCGTACACCCGATACGTGGCAGGGCGCGCGAATAAACTTTAGCTCGACGACGCCTGCGCGAGCCTTGAGAAATGCGATTGCAGCCCCTCGTATATTATACGTGCAACGCTTATAAGTTAAGTAGGCGAAAAAGAGACAAAGCTCGCGTCGACGCGTCGTCGCTATACGTATCCTCCTTTGCGCTATACGTTACATACATGCAACGGTGCTGTCCTTGCGCCAAGTATTATATATACGTTACATACGCGTGTACGCCTCGAATGGATTAGCTTCGCGCACGTCGTAATGCGAGCGCCGGCGCGCGCGTACCCACACGCGAAGGGTTAATATAATAATGAATGTAACGCGGCTGCGAGCACAAACATGCATCAACGAATTGGCAAGACGCGAAAGTTGCGCGCGGCTTATAACTCGAGTTCGCGCGGTGCAGAGGAAGTATATGGCCGGGACGCGTAGTCGAGAAATCGAGATAAAAGGAAGCAACGTCATCCACTACTACTACTAGGTGAGCTGCTGTATATATAGCACGCGAGCAGGACGGGGAACGTATTATATAATACGCCCGTAATATGATGTCGCGCTAATGGTAGCCCCGCTTAAGTCAATGATATTCGGAGGAGCTTTGCGCGTATTTTTACGAGCTTTATACAGCCGCGTACATATAACACTCTCTAGCTCTTATACATGCGCCGTCGTGTGCGTATGTACACGCGAGAGATCGTAATGCAGCGGCAGCAGCAACGTTTTGCGCGATGATAAAAATTTTTGCACGTTATAACGATTCGATACATAAATTTTTTTCTCTCCTCTCGCTTTCTTCATTCTTTAGTTCCCCCCCGCCTCGCCTATAATATAAGTAGTCGTAACTTCGTGCAAGCTGCAGTGTGTATACAGCGCGTACGTATAGCTCGGAGCTTTACTTTGCCCGTCGTCGTCGACTCGCGATGACTACATCACTAGTATATATGTACGTACGTACGTACGGCTGCGAGAATATTGAGTTTCATGAATTACTTTATGAGGATGTTATAAAAGTGGGTAAGCATGTGTGAACGCCGCGCGAAAAAGAAAAGGCGGTAAAAAATAAAAGGCGAGCATAAGGTAACTTACTTTCGTAGTACCACCGGCAGCAACAGCTCGGTGTTCAACAAAAAAAATGAATAAAAAAGAGCGAGGGCGAGCGAGAGCTTTTTTCATCGTTTAAGGTGCGCGGGGTAAATTGTCGGTATTTCGAGGGCATAAAGTTGCGCCCCGGAGCCTGGCCGCAAGGTTGTAATTATGCTGAGCGAAGTCACACACACTGGCTTCCCGTTCAAGGTTTTTTTTCGTAACTTTTTGGCGTCAACGGTATCCGCGATAATCGGACTCGACCGATCATCGTGAAAATTCAGAAGCACATCTTTTTTAAGGGTAGGGCTGATTACGTTTACCACCGCAATTTTTTAGATGCACACATGCGATTGTATGCACTTCTCATTGGCGAAAATAAATTTAAATTTCAGTAGTTTGTCGAGAACTCATCAGAAAGTATTTGGGAACAGATTCGAATAGTATTGAAGAACGAAGATGAGTAAACGTGTAATCGATACGGCGACCGACCAATAGATGGCTTCATTCTCATTCTCGAGATACTCCCATACAAAGTAACAAAGAGCGGTAACTATTATGAGACGATTGTAGGGATTACGTTTAATTAGATGGTTCTATAATTCTTTCATGTTGCACATTGCTACTATAGTACATGTAACTCGCACAATCGTGCTTACTCACCTCCTTGTGGAAAAAACTGCGAATAGATGATCTTGAAGGTCTCCTCGCGCACCACGCCCGTCGGGCATTGGGCCTTGAAGCCGCGGTAGATGCGCTTCATCTCGGCCTCGGTGAAGCGCGTGTTCCGGCAGAGGCTCTTCAGCGAGTCGGGCCGATAACGCGGCGTCTGCTCCTCTTCGTACTCCGAATCTGCGAACGATAGGAAAGAGAGAAAATGATGATTCATCGGGCGAGTTCTTTTTCATATTTGTCGTTGTTTTTTTTTTTTTGTTTTTTGCATGATTGAATTCAGAATATGTGATTCTTTTATATTCCGTGTGAGAAGAGTAAATAAAAGAGATAGAGATATAGATTTTTTTTTCTTTTCCAATTGAAAGATTGGTTCACCTAATTTAAGTACCAAAAATATATAGTGAAAAATATATTTATAAGCGTGAGTGGAGAGCTCGTTATATAGATATATATTTATATAAGAAGACTATGGTGACGTTTCATCCATCGAAGTTATATCTAGAGACTTGACTGTAAAAAAATATATATACGAATAAAGTCGAAGATATGCACCGTCGGGCTATAAAAAGATGAGATGCGTGAGTCAAGATCGTTATAGTCTCGTAAATCAATCGTAAGAGTACACGAGGTAAGAATTATTAAAAAATTCATATTTGAAAAATAAAAATGCGGTACAAAATACTTCGACCGTGTCGACAAAATTCAAGAAAAATCACCATAGTGAACATAGAGAAAAAAATGTAATTCAAAAAGTATGTATCAAATCTGTTGTCTAATTCTAATTAAAAAATAAACTATACTGTAAGATATATTGCAGCTTTTCAAAAAGTATGCAATTCAGAAAGTTTTTCTACCATATTTGTGCTCAGATTAAAGTAATATACATAATGATTTCCGAAAAAATTTGGGATGATTTCCCGATGCTAATGACCGAGTATAATGTAGATAAAAAATGAATATAGTAATAAAAATTCCAAAAAGTTTCTAATATCAATTCATATCGCAGTGGTATGATGTTTCTGTATGCAATCGTATATTCAAAAAAATGTTGATGAACGCCGCAGCTCCATTAAAATATCTCTCGGAATACCAAAGTCAATATGGAAGAAAAAAACGCATTCCAGATCACGAGAAAGTATCACAATAGTTGACCGCGATGACTGCCTCGGATATCATGATTATATGCAGAAATTTCGTGCGCCGAATAATACGTATTTTTACATAATAATAATATTGCGAATGCAAAAAAAAAGCTTAACGAGAGCCGCCCCGGCGCGACAACCTCGCGTAATATATATGTACGCCATCCTCCTCGACTGCTGCTCTCTTGCCCTTTTTCTTATTTCCCGACGGGATAACTCCGGGCCAAAGTGTATCTTCAGACCTCGTTGCAATATACACTTGGTGTGAGTATGTAAGTATGTATGTGTGTGTATGAGATACGTAAGTGTGAGTATCGAGGAATCGGGCTCGCGGGAACTACACAGCAGTTCGAGGCACACAGTTAAACATACGGGTTGTGCTGCTCGCCTTAACAAGTTTATGAAAAGAGAGAAAGAGAGAGAGTGCGAGGGCGAATGCGGGGGGTGCGAGGAAAAAAAACCAAATATACGTGTGCGTGTGAGTATGAACATTTTTGTCGCAGTGGATAGATATTTCATTTTTCCCCTTATTTTTGCTCTCTCCGAATCGATCGACTCTTCAAAAAATCCATAAATAATATTAGTTTTATTATTACACATCTTTTTTCCTATTTTTTTTTCTCCTCGTCGGAGAAATGTCTCCGTTGCGCAGTTGTTACGTTACACGGCCGCGCGGCGTCGAGCTTTTCTCACATTACCCGTGTACGCGCGCGGCCCGCAATAAGGAACATAATTTATGGATTTTCAGAGCCCGCGCGTACGCGAAACACATGCGTTGATTTATGTCTTGGCGTGTTGCATCTATGATTTTTAACCCCGCAGCAGCTATCGTTTTTCCACAAGCTTATATGTATATGTGACAGCGTAGCTATGTAGTGAAATATTTATATCCACCCGAGAGCTTGCGATAATTCGCAGATAATAATGATAATAAGCGTACGGATTTTTTTCTCCCATACGTTTACCGAGTCAAATTATCGAGATGCAATTACGATTAGACTATTTACGCCCGAAAAAGAGCCCCACGTTTAGGGGTAATCCTATCCTATATGTAAGCTAGACAAGAAATTTCTGCGTGTTGAATTGATGCTCCACTTTACTTTGCGTGTCAACGTTTCCTACGTTTTTTCTTCTTCTTTTTTTCCGCGTTCTCTTTCTTCTCTCTCTCTCTCTCGCCATTTCGCACCGAGAGAATCGCAGTCACCAATGTTCTAGTTTTTCGCTTCATTTCTATGCGCTCTTGTAAAAGAAGAAGATGACGAAGAAATACGAGAGAGAGAGAGAGAGAGAGAGAGAGAAAGAAAAAAAGAACGAATGGGAGCTTCTTCTTGGTTTCAAAAGTAGTAGAGAAAAAAACCTTAACGGTTTTCCCTTCTTCTTCTTCTTCTTTTTTATATTCTTACTCGCTTGAGTTGCGGTTTTTTTTGCTGGTCGTCGCATCGTTTTTCGTTTACTAAGCATAAGCTCCTCTCGCTCTAACAATCCAAAAGGCGTTTCTGTCTCATATACTGTACAGTTTTTAGAACGAATAAGAGAAGGCACAACCGTGCGGCGTGGCAGCGGTGACGAAAAGGAATGGTTTCGCACTCTTTTTTTTTGTTTTTCAACGCGTGGACGTATAGCCCCCGAACAAAAGATTAATCTGACTTTTTCGAGGCGCGAGAGAGAGACAAACGTACGTTCCGTGAGCCGTGCCCGCGTGACAAAAGATTAATTTTCATTGGCAGTCAGCTCGCAACGACGACGAAATAATCTGAAATCGAAATCTCATCAAAACGAATCTGTTAGCGGCTTGCGGACTAAAATCCTTTTCATTCAAATTTTACTTTCGACGCGGCGGCGCGCGTATACATAGACGCGTACACACGTACGTAGATGGAACGCGAATACACCTAAACAGATTCGCGCGCCAATTTCATTTCCTTTGCCCGTCTCCAAAACAAAAGGCAGACGTGCATAATAGAGAGCACAGTAAAAAAAAAAAAAAAAAAAAAAGAGGAAAAATCCGAAAAGCCGAGCGCGCAACGGGCGTCACGACGACGACGGTCATATTATCAATGTGGCGCACATGCTAGAGCGAGAAAGAGATCCTTTCATATAACTGCACACGCGTTATAAAGCTCTGCTCTGTCTGTGTGTCTGCGTCGGACTCGAGAGTACGCGCGCGCGCACCCGGGATTTGGCGTTTGAAAATCAAATTTACGCTTGCAACGTGTGACAGAGATTTTCCGCGCTCATGCGTGCAGCAGCAGCAGTAGCAGCAGCGGCGGCAGCAGCAAAGAGAGTTCGGAGCTCTCTTTTGGCTTTGGCCTTGCGACGCGAGAGAAGCTTGTACAATAATGTCCATTTTATGTCCAGTGGCACACACACACGTAGCAGCAGCAGAGGCGCTTTAAATCAATTTTTTTGTTGCGTTGTACGTCAAAAAATCGTGTATTTTCGAAGGATTGGCGAAGGGTGGCATAATTCGACAGTTAAAAAAGATGGTTTTAAGCGATTCATGTACAGAACACTGATTGACAATTTGAAGAGTTAATTGCTGGGGATTAGATTTTGTTTCAATATTGCACTAGAATACAAGCGTCCAATCAAATTGCAGTTGTAAATACGTGCCTATACTGTTTATAGCAATCAGTTGTTATAATTATTGTAAATTGTGGAAATATTTATCATTAAGACACCACTATTTTGAGAACTACTATGTACAATGAAGTATGTTAAATATATATTTACAAAAGAACTAAGTAATCAACGTCCGACGGGACAAAACAACTCTAGATAGTTATGCATCGACTGAAAATAAATCTAAAATTTTTGAATTCAAATTAAGTATGATCTAATTTTTTTCAGGAAAATCGGACAAGTCCTGCCCCTCGTAGATAATGCTCAATATTAGTAATGGCCCAATAACCAAATTATGACAATGTAAAATATTTGAAAATTCATTATCAATAATTTGCTTATTTTTGGGGATTTTTGTTACAATTATGTTAAAAATATTAATGTCATTTTAAAAGATCTGAAAATGATAATTCAACGGTTTTAAACAATGTTTACCAGTTTGAACCATTTTTAATACAATAGTGAAACTTTATGTCTTTACCACTAGATAGCAACTACCTTTCATCTTTAAATCTGCAAGTAGCAAAGTAAAAACAATTGTATAAGTCTAAGCACAGTTTCAATACAAATAAATTCATCTTGATGAAATAAATTTTTGAGATTTATATGTTACCGAAGTAGGTCTTAGAAATTACTCATAGTCAGTATAAAAAAAGGGGTTGCCTAGGGCCATAGCTAAATTCATTTTAAAGTACAAACATACACGATTATAAAATTATGTTGTGATGTAGTAGTTATTAAAAACAAATTAAAAACTTTAATGTAATTAACGTTTTACATTTTAAATGCAGACAATTAAAAATAACTATTTAGGAGTTTGAATGATAATTTTTATGAATTTCAAGTAGTCAAAATTGATCATTAAATACTAAAACAAACTGTCAAACTTTATGAGTCCATAAAATATTGAGCATTTCTATCAAGGACATTATATTAATTTTTCTTTAACTGTCCGTTGATCCTGATTTTGCATTAAATAAATAGAGTGAGTTAGACATAAGACAATAAAAACAGGCATAATTAGGATATTAAAAGAAAGCAATGGCGGATAAAATAATACCTATATCGCACATCATGTCGGCTGAGCGTCGTACAGCGAGGGTTAGTTCGGATTACACACCCAAAGACGAAAAACAATCTCAACTATTATTTATGAATTAAAGAATTTCTTACATCCTATTACTCATGAAATAGATAACAAATATAATTTTTAGTGATTTAAAAAAATTCACTCTCATATTTCGTACTCTTACTTGAATTATATTACAGTTTTTTAAATCGATTATTTACAATTCATTAAATTTTACTACGATTAGTCTAGTCGTCAAATTACTTTCTAGATTTTCTACGTTGTGCATACTTGGCTGCAGTGAAGTCCAATATTCAATTTTTCGCAATGTACTCAATTTTTCGTATTTACAGAATGTTTACAAATGTTGATAGTTCAGTACTAAAGTATCGTTGGTACAACTATTTTCTATAATATTTTAAACCACTAAAAAAGATATTTTGACAACTTTACAGCTTGAGTGATATAATTTTTGTTTCGAATTTTTAAGTCAGCCGAAATTAATTTTGGCCAACCTACAATTATTCAATGGACTCGATGTTTGCCTTTTAAACATTGAATTTTCGAGTCAAAAAAATCGACTGAATAATTTGCAATTTTTAAATTCTTTACAACGGGCCCAATACATCGTGAAACGGCTGTAAACGCGACACTAATTTTTTGTTACAGAATAGATGGATCTCTCACCTAGGGCAAATTTCACGCCTGTCCAGGCCTCTCTGATGTAGCTGATGATGCGCCTGATGAGGGGCTTGGGCGGGCCCTTAACCTCCTCGACGTCGTCGACCTCCTCGACCGTGCCGGGCGGCGGCCCGATGCCAGTGAGTGTGCCGGCCTGATTTCGCTTGCCGAGTATGTGGACGACCTCCCTGAGACCGGGCCCGACGCCCTGTAGCCCCGCTGCATACTGGCTGGACGCGGGGGCGGCGCCGGGCGGCAGGTTTGCCCCACCGCCGCCCCCGCGACCCCGGCCACCACGCGTCTTGCCGCCGCGGCCCCATTGTCCGCCGCTGCCTGGTTTTCGTTGGTGTTGTTGTTTTTTTTTTCGGTGATTCGTAGTTAATTCGTTGAGAGAAGATCAGAGGATATAAGATATAATGTTAGTGAGGATTGAAATTGTTACGATTTATCAATTGAATTATCTTCTGAGACAAAATATTTGTAAAAGGCAAAATTTTGTATCATATTATGCAAATTGACAGCATTGAATAATTTTATTTTTGTCTCAGCAAATAATTTTTTTTCTAGAGGTTCGGAATGCAGCATTTATATTGAAACGCGCTAAGTATTTCCGTTCTCGAAGCCAAAGATTATTCAACCCAATATTATTTATAACAGTATGTAATAAGCATTCAATTGAAGTAAAAAAATTTTAATTCTGAAATGTATCGAAAATTTATAAAAAAGTTAATTAATTATAGTATAATGAATTCAAATAGAAGCGTTTGATAATGAATATTATAAAACATGCCATTGTATATCAAATTATTTTCAGTAAAAATGAGAATAAAAATTATCAAATGAATCGATGCGAGTGTGTATATAATAAAATGTAAACGGCAATATTGAATGATAAAAATTTACTTGAAATCAAAAGAGCTTACTCAACGATTAATTAATTGAAAAAAGCGTAAAAATTGTAAACATGCATTTGTATTCCGAACCTTTTGCTATTTATTTTTCATTTGGGAGATTGCAAAACTAGTGAATGATCCAAAAGTGTGTTACAGGAATATCTTGTGTCGTGTACTTGGGAGTGAAAAATTAATTCTAACAAAGATCTGTGCGCTAATATATTCATGGTTCTAAGGTGTGGTTACTGTATAACGCGTATAATCAAAGTACATATTTGTTATAAATTACAAAACATGAGTTGTGTCATGATGGTATTATACAAAGTAAATGAACTTTATAAACTAAACGAGAGTCAAGTAATTTTGTAAGTAGGTATTATTTTTTCTGTTAATTAGAACATCCACAAGTTTAACTTTTCCCGATTTATGATTAAAACTAGCCAATTTTACCATTTGTTTTTTGTACAGGTTCGTTATGCCTTGGTCTCTTCACGATAGTGCGTCTAAAAGGGTTCTTATGACCCTCGCTGTTGCTTGTATGCAACATGAACTTTAAAAATCAGCATTGATTATAATATTGTACATTTTTTTACTATAAACTACGCTAAAAAAAATTAACAATAAAACTAGTATGAGTTTTAGTTGTTTATTTTATGAAACAATATTATTCAAAAAAATGTGTTATCTTTCAGAAAAAGTCAAGATTATTTATGTATTTTAGTTCTGTTTTTAAAAATTCGAAATGGCATTGATTCGACATCATATCAAATTTTCACTTATAGACCACGTCGAAATACAATAGTCAATGATTTCGATAAATTTGCTCTTAAAAATAAAGTATAAATAAATATAAGTGAAAAAAATATTATCAAGTAAATTCATTCAAATTGTGCTATTAAATTATTAGGTTTCAAAAAGCAAATAAGTTGCACCAAGAAGAAGCGTTTTTTACAACTACACTCGGCAACAAAATTATCGCAACAAAAAAATTCATCGAAATTTTGTCGATTTTCAAATGCTTCTATCTTGGGCTAGATTTATCGTATCGACACCCTTTTTTTTTTAATTTCTTGGAAATTTTGTCCTCTTTAAATCCATATAAATTAAGATAAGATTTGAGTTAATATTGAGTTACCAGTAGTATTTGAGCGTGACCCTAAAAATTACTGAAAAAAAATGACTGCACAGTGATTTTTTTATCGAAATCTAACATACACCATCGCAAAGTGCTCTTTTCAACGAGTAATTTAAAAAAAAAAGACCTCTCTACGATTTTAGGTACGGTTTATGTACGCAAAATGCCCAGAAAATCGTCTTGATTTCAGGTAAACGGGGGATTTTACGTACTTTAAATGGTATCTTCAAATCGACCGACAGGGCGTTAAAAAATCGTGGAGAGGTCTTTTTTTTTTAAATTATTCGTTAAAAAGAGCACTTTGCGATGGTGTATGTTAGATTTCGATAAAAAAATCACTGTGGTACTGGTACACGTTCAAACAGTCATTTTTTTTCAGTAATTTTTAGGGTCACGCTCAAATACTACTGGTAACTCAACATTAACTCAAATCTTATCTTAATTTATATGGATTTAAAGAGGACAAAATTTCCAAGAAATTAAAAAAAAAGTGTGTCGATACGATAAATCTAGCCCAAGATAGAAGCATTTGAAAATCGACAAAATTTCGATGAATTTTTTTGTTGCGATAATTTTGTTGCCGAGTGTATTTCATTGATTAATTCTAAAATTGCTAATCAAGTAAATTAAAAACATCAATTTAGAAATAAGCTTAGATATAGCTGCAGCTGCACACGTAATGCATAATATACATCACATAAAATATTTTGATACTGTTAACAATTCTTCTTAGTGCTGAAATAGTTCATAATATAAAAAATATAATATTTTTTCAAAAAGCAATAATTTTAATCGTCTGATCTGGGGCACTCGATATATCACAAAAATACATGTTGTTACCTTTCGAAATTCGAATCCTATCTTTTTCATCTGATCTAATAATATAAAAGTGCTTACAGGAGCCCATAGATTAAATATAGTATATCATCTAGAAAGTGCATTGCGATTTAATTCTATTAAGATTTTACATCGACTAGTTCGGAAGGATAAATCCTTCGCGTTAAGAAAAGTGTATTTACAATTTTCACTGCACTATATGAGAGTTTAATTTTACACTGCCCGAACTTACTGCTCGAACTGGTGCGAAGTTTGAAAGTAGACCCAGTCGCGCCAGTCCCACCTGCCCAAGACATCTCACTTTATGGTATCTCCGCTTCTCTAGAAGTTATGCATTATTGAATAATCTTGGTGGCTGTTTTGCTTTTCCAAAGTTCTATTTTTCAAGAGGAAAGTAGCGGAATGAAATTTTCATCGAAAAAGTTTCGTGCGTGAGTTAATAATTGGTCGTATTTATATACTTTATAAAAACTCACTAATTAACTTTTACGATACTTTCGAATCTCGGCTTTCGATATTCTCATTTTCGTATGCGTGACCCAGCTCAGACCTTTTTGTCTTGAATAAACATCGAGTACCCATTGATGAAAAATTACAAAAAAGCATCAATCGATTCAGATAAAATAGTAAAAAATATTGATTGAAATAAAGAAAAATAATGTACGAAAAAAAGATATCGTACAATAGAAACTCGTAAGTAAAAGAATGATGATACCCAAAATAGGCAATAATAATAATAATAAAGAAAAAATTATAAAAAAAATCGATCGATCGATCAAATAAATCGACACGTGCGTATAGCACCGAAGGAGCTCACGTACTTTGTCGCTTCTTGTAGGAGGGGAGGCCCACAACGGGGCCGCAGCCCCCTGCGCTCCCCGCAACCGAGGAGCTGATGGTGAAAGTGCGGGTAGCACAGCGTCCGCCAGTAGGTGGAGCGCTGCCACGCGCCAAGTCACGCCGCTGCCGCCGTCGCAGCCGCCGCCTGCTGCGCTGGTGAGCGAGCCCAGCGCCGTCTCCGCCACCGCCACCTCCGCCGACGGACAACAGCACGCCCTGCCGAGCTCCTTATCCTTGCCGAACGTTGTGGTGGAGTCGCGGCGTCGACGTGGTGGACTTTTCTATATACGTGTGTGTTTGTTTGTTTTTGCTTTTTAATTTCTCCGGTACCAGTTCTCTTTTTGTCGTTGTTGAAAAAATAAAAAAAAATGTAAAAACGCAAAAAAATTGACAATTGGATAACGAAAGATCATTATTCTTATTACCCTTTGTAATCACATCAACAATTGAAAATGTTTGTACTCAATCGTTCCAATCTGATGTTATAATATACAAACATTTTTAAAAGCATCTCGTTTCAAAGTACGTCAATGTTCTTAAAAAAAGTAATTACATCTCATACAATTGAAAAATACATGAGGCAGTGTACCTACAACGACATTGCCTGGTATTTTAATTAAAATTCCAGCATGCAGGAGCCTTATTATTTACATTTTTTTTTCATTAGTCTTATTTCATTTGCAAATGTCAAGAGTGACCTCCCGTTTTATATTGTACTGATATGAATAAAAAAAATATCTCTGCATGCTCTTTTGATTTTTCCAGTTGATAATTCAGTCAATTTGTATACGGCCAGGGCACAGAATTAAACTTACTTATTTGTATAAACTGGGCTCCGCGCTCAGCTCTTGAGACGATGATGAGGCTTTCTTAACGAAGACATTTCGCTCGCTTCGGGTATGATAATAAAAATATTTTTTACTACACTTTGACTGCAGTTGTTAGTCACTTGAGCATCTGAAACAAGCCAAGCGTAAAAGGTTGTTATTAGCATTAGCAGACGAGAGAGAGAGAAAGAGACTTTTTAATGAAAAAACATGAAAATGCAGATGTCGCGAAACTGAATATTCATGCGTGCTTTGTATCTCATGTTAATAGATTAAAAAAAAATGTTATCAAAGAAAACGTAATTTTGAGTAATAAATTTTACATCAAGCTCGCATTTATGTCACATGCATAAACTCCGATCTCTTGAGTGTCTTTGAAATTAAAAATATAAACGTCATTCAACTATACACAAGTAATGGCACACGGTCATCAATTCAACGAAGCGACGCGAGCAAGCGAGGCTCGATCCCTCTTGTCAATTATTTCTTTTTCCTGCAAGCACGCGTCTGGAGGAAAAGCATCGGGATACAGCATCGACAGCATCGCTGTGATACAGTTCATGTATATATACAACAATACCGTACATTTTCCGATACGTGCGCGCAAGCGATAAGGATGCACACCTATACACACACATACACACCCGCGATACACAGGGATGAAAACTTTTTTCGCCGCGATGAGAAAATACTTCGAGAGGGTGCGAGTTTAAACTTTTTAGCTCGAGTCTGAAGTGTTCGTGGAAGAAAGCCTGTTAAGATAGCCAAGGCACGACGAGCGAGGAAATCTTTTGAAATTCAAAATTTTGCTTCTTTCCTTTGCCCTATAGTGCAATCGAAATATTCGCAAGTACGACGATGCTTTTGTTTGTATACCGATGAAATTTTTTGTCAACGATTGTTAGCTGCTGTGGATGCAATCATCAGACAACATTTCTTCTAGTTGTAATTTGATAATAGAAGTGATAAAAAATGCATAACGTACACTGTGACATAAACCTTAACATTCAAACAGATTTAATACAGATCCAGACTTAAAAATTTAATTAAATTATGATGGATTTTATCAACAGTAAATGTTTGTTAATTGCACAAAAAATGCATGAAAATGCATACAGCATCCATTATTATGTTAATGCGAAATTAACATAGGTAATTTAATTTTTTACAAAAATTTAAACATTTTGATTGAAAATTAATGTTTTAATGCTGATAAGGTATATGAGATGATTGTACAAACAATTTATGTACTTTTAAATATTACCAGCTTTCACCACTAGATGGCAAGTACCTTCATCTATAGACATGCAAGAGGTAAAGTAAAAAATTTGAATAAGTAATAGCATGGGAACTAAACCAGTTTGGTTTCGTTATGAACCATTTTGATAATTTAAATCTTAATCCAAATAATCATGTAAAAACTTTTTACTTTAAAAAATATCATTACCTATCTATCTGATATGGATGATATTTTGAATTAATTTATTGTATTTTTAGTTTTTTATATGCAACGGGTGTGGAATAAGTTTTCCGTGGTACACCATAAGTCGTAGCTATTCCGAGTTATGTTGTCTAAAAGTAACATAAAAACTCAAACTAGCGACAAAGTTTGGATTTTTAGGTAAGAGTATAATAATAAAAATGTAGTAGTGTGCGGTGTGCCAACAGAGCGAAAAATCGGGGAGCGTTAGACCGGTTATAATTATACAAAAAATATTAAAAAAGGCACATCTCCAAAGCCGGTTGGAGAATAAGGTGCACCTAAATCCGTACTTGAGACGGGTTGATTTCAATCGGGCTTTTCTTGAACTTGGAAATAATTGATTGATCACTCGTTTAACCAATGTAACAAAGATTTTGCAGTAATTTTGATTTTCAAAGCTGCCATTGTAACCATCAGGAATAAGCCGACGTCCGACACGATACATATTATTATTATTAAAATTTTAAATTAAATATTCTAATTGTGCAGAAGTAGTCTTCGTGATTTCATAGTCATTATATGCAATGGTGGCTATGGTATTCAAAAAGAAAATTAAATTCAACATTGATAAATCATCAAAAAAATTTTTAAAATACTTCGCGTGCGCGACCTAACTTTTTGAATTTAATCAAACCAATTTATCGATTATAATTTAATGAGATAATACTCGCAAAAAATAAAGCTGGGCTATCGAATAATATTCGAGATCGTAATCGTTTTGGATCAATCGCGTTCGATGCGCCGACGACTCGCCACGAGCACTCATTGATATACACATGTATAATGAGACAAAAAAAAAAAGAAAGAAAAATCGATAGCTAATGGGAAGCCCAGCGGGCGTCCTTCAAATGTATAGCCATATATATATTCGATATCGCTCGTGCGAATCAATGACAGTTTGATAAGGAGTTGCGCGCGCGTATCTTCGCGCTCATAGCTGTATTTTGGGCGATTATTATCTGCCCGCGCGAGATAAAAAAGCGATGGTGAAGAATTCGAAAAACATGATAAAAAGATCGTTGTGAGTGATTTATCCAATTTCGAGCGATCGCGAACTGATTAATATAATTTTTCTGCCGAACTTCAATGGGTCAATAAATTTCGCCTAAATGGAAGAGTAGGAAAGAAACAAAAAAAAAAAAAAACAACGAAAATTAACGCACACCTCATTTCAGCGACGATATCGTGCACAGCTAATAGCATACATTTTGACTGCTTGACTCGAGCGGTATTGTTCGTTGCAGGATTTAATCGAAATGAAATTTAAAGGGATACCTCTCGAGAGCTGTTTTGTCGTTAAACTTTGCGCGGAAACGACAAGCCATTCGTCGTCGTCGTCGTCGTCGTTGTTCGTTAGTCCAAAAACGCTCGACGATACACAACGCGAAACAAATTCATTAGTTTCAAGGGCGGAATTGTGGTTTTAATTTTATTAAACATGAAATTAACTTCGAAATTAGTCGACTGCAGTCCCGGGTTTCTAGTTTAACTCTCTCTCGCGTCAATTATGCATGTTATAATATAAAAGCTTTCAAGCTAATTATTTTGCTCGCTGCAGCGGCTCCTCGTCCATGTGTGCATTTACATTTGTATTTATTATGTACTTCGATGTAAATAAGTATCATTCAGCTGCTATCGATTTTTCGTCTGCAGCTCAATTACTCGCATGACTCAATTCAACTTTTTATCAATGACTCAGACGCACTCGAAGTATTTTCGCGCTCGTGTCATCTTGTCCTGGCCGATACACAATATATTTTTTTTCTATTCTCACTCGAGCCTTCGCTGCTGGAAATATTAGCAAAGTAGTTAAATGTAAAAAAAAAAAAAAAACTAACTATCGCTACTAGTGCCGATCCCGATCGCTATCGAGCCCTGTCTCGAGATAAGAGAAGAATGGGAGTAGCGCGTGATTGATGAAGAATATATCTTAGCAACGCCAAATTTCATAATTTCTCAAGAAGTCGTTAAAAAAAAAGAACCGTTGGCAATGTACAATGCTCGGCGCGATTATCGTCAGATAAAATTTTTTTGTTTTTCGTCGATCGAGAGCGCAGATGATCGATCTCGTGCGCCGATTTATTGTAACAATTACGAAACGCGGCCAAATACAACGTGTATGTACCTGCACGCCTGAAGTGATTTTGTGTGCCTTAATATATGATACACGTGCTCGAATTAAACCTTGTATAATGCAACGCTTAAATCCGCTTACGTCCTTATAAACTTCGGAGATGGTGCGCGCGGTCTGCATACAAAATGATACGCACGCTGCAGCGAGCCCGCGTCGATACACTTTCTAATCACCCTCGGTCTATACACACAAATCCAGCCTCGCAGTCGACCGCGGCGCATTGTATTATGTATGTATGCTTGATGAAGTCGTTAAAGCCAGACGAACTTATAAGACTACTACGCGTCCTTCGTAAAGTACACCTCGTTCGGTGGCCCTATTATTATGATTATTGTTATATAAATATGCGCATAAAAATAACGCTCATTGTTCTCGAGCTTGAATATTCAGTGCAAATCTGGCGTATAAGCGTTTGTCCGTCTGTGTGTGTGTGTGTGTGTGTCTGTGCGAGACTGCGACTGACTTGTTTGTATCGCCTGATTACTGCCTTGTGCGCGTGGGAGCGTACACAACACATACATACACGGTACATAGGAAAGGGAATTCTCCGTACTGCACTTGACCCAATTTCGCGTCACGGGAGCGTAGGCGGCGGTGGTCGTGATAGTAGCGCGACACACGAGACTATATACCGAGCTCCATAGGAGTCGATGGTGTGTGCGCTCGGCAGCGGCGACATTTCGAGATTCGAGCTTTGTGTTCGCCCGAATGTATATGCTACAGCAATATTCATACGTACGATGTAGCACCTATATACACTGTACGCATTCGCGCGGTGTCAGAGCTTGCAGTGTCGGAGCACTTCATCGTCCGATCACGCGGCGGACGACACAATGCACCGGCCGAGGCTGCGTACTGAAAGCGACAACCGCGCTGGATCGAATATCTTGTGCCGGGGCCGACGATTGTCTCTGGCATCTCGTATAATTATTTCGTCTTTCTGCGAGAATAAGCTCGCCTGCACTCGGACCGTAATAAACATTCGATTCTCGCTTAGTTCAGCTTTACTTGATTACGAGGAACTGGGCTAGACGTTTCCTTAAATACAACGGGTAAAAAATATAAAACCAAGCATCGATTCTTTATTAGCCCACATCGCCGATTTTCCACGGGTAATACCTATTATGATAAGCTGGCAGTTGCAGTAGTAAGAATATACCAGTAATAAGTTGAAAGTCAATAAAAATTCTTTCGATTCGATATCGGATCTATACCCTTTTCTCTCTCTCTATTTTATGTCTCTTCTATACCCGACGAAGCGGAGCTCACGTACAAGCGCGCGGTATCTATACGTATAACTATAACTGTATAGCTCTGCGCCTCTCCATCGTTTTGTCTTAAAGCTCAGATAGAGTTTCAGTCAAGTCTTTTGTCGGGAATAGCGAGGTAATGGCAGGAGCTAGAATCCATAGTAGCGGATCACCTGCTCTAGTTATATATACCGCGTGCAGCTGTACGCGATAAAAAAAAAAGAAAAAAGAGGGAGCGAGAGAGAGAGAAAAGGAAGGAAGAAATAGAAAATTCTGCAATAAAAAGTAAAGGAAAAAAAAAGAAGGAACTTTCGATACTCCTTTATATGAGAGCGAGCGAGAGGTAGAAACGGAAGATGACTGTATAGATAACGCGTAGCTGGTGGAATTACACCTGGCACGCGCGTGCGTGCGTCTACCGTGATACAACCTTATCTCGTGCGCGTCCTTTGTTCTCTCGATGAAAACAAATAATATATAGAAGACGTCGTTAAGCTTCGAAACTTTGAGCTTCGCTTCACTCTGTGCAGCGTTACATGTACGGTGTATGAAGCGAGAACTTGTATGTATAAACTCGTTCATGGAGGGTTTCGTGTGCAAGCGACGCGATCGGTGCATCGATACACTCGATCGAATGAAATTAATTGTTGGTCGCTCGATCAAAATCTGAATATCGAGCCGAGATAGGTGGGCGTGCGTCTTGGCTTTTTTTCCGAGTGCCGAGCGCGAGTGGCAAATTTTTTTGTCCATATATTGTTACGATCGGCAAGATGGATTTATTGCCATTAATGAAACCGCTCGTTCTATTCCACTGCAATCGTAGTGCAAAAAACGATGATGTATCGTTTCTGTGTGTTTTTATGCATTCTTTTTCGTTTTTGCACGACCGAGATGTATGATGGAAAATAAACAAAGCGCCTTTCTCGCGACATTTAAATGCTCGCGCGACTGACTGGGTATTGAAAAAAAATTTCAAAGTATAATAGTTGCTAGGGAAATATTCCGACAACGCGAACGCACGTGGCGAAAACAACAATGGATATATACTTTCGATGAATATTCAGGATAAAAATGAAAACATCGGAGTTGCGAGAAATAACATGCGATTCGAATGAGCGGAAAATGATTAAATTGGAATGATCTAAAAATGAACTATATCCTTTTTTCCAAAATGATAATCAGGAGTAATCGAATGAAGTGTCAAAATTTTCGGAATTTTCTTCGTACGGGCGCTGCCATAAAAAATTTCAAAGTTACATCACTGCCCTGATTAGGCATGCGCACGTTATATGTTGTGTGCAGTGTATTATACACCGCTATTAGTTTGTAACAATCTTTGTCACGCTTCCGTCCAAATAAAGTATAGAAGATATAATATGATGTCGATATATTTAAAGATATTCTGAAGAATTAATACTTCAAAATTATAACATTTGAAAAGTTCCAATTTTAAAATTTTTACTATAAAATACTGATTGAATGATACACTGTTATGTACATAATCATACAAAATATACGAAAATATGTCAAAAAAATTCTTGTGAGCAGGTTTCAGCGAAAATTGAAAAATTAATTAAGTTGAACATGGTTAATATCAATATTAAAGTATTAATCTACAAATCTCGGTACGCAAAAATTCGATAAGATTATTTTTTTATCTTTGTGACTAGTCAGCCAGGCCAGGGCTAGAATAAAAATTATCAAATTTAAGCGTACTTGCTTCATTAACGTGGGAGAGTTGAAACAGTTTGCTTAGGACACACCGGACCAAATTGGTTCCAAAATTGTAAGATTAGCAAAAAAAGTTCTTTACATTTCATACATTTACAAAAATAACAACTATAGTATAAAAAAAGTTTAATTATAAATATTTCGTGCATTGATGATTTTTCAAATCGTCATAAGTTGGTGAAGATATAATTATCTTGTGATCTTAGTGCAATTGGAAAAAAATATTTGATATTGTGCTGAAAATGTGTCGAAAAAGTTGGTTTCTTCATTTCATACATCAACGTATCATAACATATAGTGGATAATGGGCCTGACAGTTCGGTCATAGTAGTATCTGCGACAACTCGATCTTAGTTCATGTTACAGTTAAAGAATAGTGAAATATCCCCATTTAAGGCTTTCACGATACGATTCATCACTATTTTTTTAATCGAACTATCGAGCTTATTAATTGCGTTATTAATCAAATCATTCATAAGCTGTGTTTAAAGTGACATCATTGATACTTGCCTTCAGATCGTACTGTAACATCTCAGTTTGTATAAATAAAATATTACGTTACAGACAAGAAAGTCGGTTATTGCTAGTCACGCGTAGGGCAGTTGCTGATAGCACTCATTTTTACCGGGTAATGTTTATAATTTTTTTTTTTTTTTTCATTTCTGTTTGGAAGTGCGTACTATACAAAATGTAAACTATTGTTTGTACTTATCATATTCTCATAAGCCGGTAACGCGTTGTATATTGCAGCTTCAATTTCGTGTTAAAGAACGCATACGTCGTTCTTAGTTTTTTCGTGTTTTGTGGTGGTGGGAGGGCTGCGGGTCTCGAGTGGTAGCCCTGGTGAGGGTGCACGAGGCGAAGCCCCCGCCTAAGGGTCAGAGTGAGAGGAACCCCCGCTTTTGGGCATTGAAGTCATAGCAACGTTTTCTCAGGGATTGGCGTAGACTTATATGGAGTCATAATGTTAATCCAAGAGGGCACGCTGCAATTTTCGTATGCTAAAATACCTAGACTCAAATAAAAGAAAACTGTTATAGAAATTCAAAACACATTTACATGACACTGAGCTCAGATGAATTCCTATTTACTATTTACAAATCTTTACTTTGTAGTATTTGAAGAATCTGTAGAAATTGCAGTATTTCATCTTACTGCCGTATTAAAAAATCTCGTGGAATTATCCAAAGAATTGTAATATATTCACTTCTTTCATATAAATTACTTTCTGCATTCGATGCGATCACTTGTTAATAAACTCTCTTTCTCACCAATCAATCTCTATACTGAGGCACGCACCATACAATATTACTCAGGTAGGCATATAATACATCCGTCGTTCTCAATTGAAGACAAAAAAGAACGTATTTTGGGCGGGGGATAAGAAAAAAGTATATTTACACCAATTGCATAATAGTACTTTTTGAAAAACGAACTTATGTAAATGAACTCATGTTTTTCAAATTACATGAATTCAGAGCCCCAATTAATTGTGGATTATCATACTCCTATTATTATAACCATTGAAAAGTGTCATTGGTGATGTGCCGTTTTGCTGAATATGCCGGTTAATTATTTTATGTAATTAAGTTTATAATCACATTTTTCATGTCCATATTAACAGTTTTTATTCATATTAAATACAAAGATTATTTATAACATTTAAATGAATTTGAAGAGAACAATTTTATTATTCAATGAAAATAAACGTTACGATAAATTTTATGAATAAAATAAGTAATTATTTAAATATGATTGAAACTACACGCAGTTCTTACAATCATAAATACTGTTACATTATTATGATTTAAAAAAACGTGTTTGAATTACGATTTTCTTGGTGATCGTAACAGATGACTGATATATTCTTATAAGGACAATTGAACTATTCATGGTAAAAAGCCGTTAGGAAAAGAGCTATGATTATCAGTATCAAAAAATTCGAAATATCAGATAAAACTCAAATCGTATCAGTAAATTTGAAAATATTAAAGAAAAAAATACACCATTATAATAACTAAGTCTCAGAGTAAATAGATACTTAAGTACATACATAACATACATACAAATGCCCTAATAATTCAAAACGTTCTACGATCCAAATTCATTTATCTCGAAATCATCTACAGAAAATATTACAGTATAAATATTAGCAATAACACAAAATTTATAATTTTTACGCAGGTTAAAATGAAAGGAATAAAACTGATTTTATTATTATCAGTATTAATCACTTGCGCACGGAGCAATCCAGTACCACGAAACTCACAAGAAAATGATACGCAACTACCTAAAAGAAAAGACGTACGAGCTCCTGTTAAACCGACGACAGTAGCCTCTGGCAACCCAGCAGGCAGCGATAAACCCGAAGGAGGACACGAGGTACCAGTAGTAGCCCCTGGCAACCCAGCAGGCAGCGATAAACCCGCAGGAGGACACGAGGTACCAGTAGTAACCCCTGGCAACCCAGCAGGCAGCGATAAACCCGAAGGAGGACACGAGGTACCAGTAGTAACCCCTGGCAACCCAGCAGGCAGCGATAAACCCGAAGGAGGACAC